ATCACATTTACAATCCACACCACTTTCCATCCAGCCAGAGCTGCCCTCACCCAGTAGGTGGCGCCCCAGGACACAATCCACAGCAGCTCAGAAGGTTCATATCTACAAGATGAATCTGCTTAATGTTTAATGTGAGAAGCTGTTTAACTTATTCCTGTCTGCTGACTCTGTTTCTGAATGACATGCTGCATCAGTGTGAACCTGTGCACCTCAAAGCCACAACTGTACTCTGAGGAAGGGAAGCAGCCACTTCCATCAGCTGAGAGCTGCCTGGAACAATCCTGCTGACACCTCTGAGTTCTTCAGATTTTTGGGCTATGCTAAACGTTCAGAATAATGACATAAATCATTGCATTCATTTTTGTCAGTTTGTCAAGTTTTCCAAATTTCAGACTTGTCTTGCTTTGGTAGAAGCTGTGCAGTGAGTTAACTTCACTTCCCGACACCTTAAGCCGCATACACTCACTTAAATCTTCGTTTCAACTTCGTTTGTTGACTCAGTAGTATACACAGTATACACAGTGAGTGAGTAAAGTTAAGTGTAAATTACTTCCCATCTGCATAACACAGAGCCTAAAATGCTATAAGCTATGAAATGAATAATAATTGGAAGAAAAAATATTTAGCATTAAAACATGATTAATGGCAATAAAGCATGCTCATAGTATTATATTATAATAAATATAATATTTTAGAGCCCCAATATCCCAAATCATGCTTTTATGGGAGCCAATGTCTGATTTAAATTGATTTTGATTTTGATTTACAGTGACAACTGTATCTAAGGAAGGGTTAGAGTCCCCCTTAGGGTTAGAGTCCCCCTTAGGGTTAGAGTCCCTAGGTGTTAAAGGGTTAGAGTCCCCCTTAGGGTTAGAGTCCCTAAGTGTTAAAGGGTTAGAGTCCCCCTTAGGGTTAGAGTCCCTAAGTGTTAAAGGGTTAGAGTCCCCTTAGGGTTAGAGTCCCTAAGTGTTAAAGGGTTAGAGTCCCCTTAGGGTTAGAGTCCCTAAGTGTTAAAGGGTTAGAGTCTCTAGGTGTTAAAGGGTTAGAGTCCCTCTTAGGGTTAGAGTCCCCTTAGGGTTAGAGTCCCTAAGTGTTAAAGGGTTAGAGTCCCCTTAGGGTTAGAGTCCCTAAGTGTTAAAGGGTTAGAGTCCCCTTAGGGTTAGAGTCCCTAAGTGTTAAAGGGTTAGAGTCCCCTTAGGGTTAGAGTCCCTAAGTGTTAAAGGGTTTTCAACTGATATCATATTCATAACAGAAGCGAGGAGTTTGGGTTTTACAAAACGTAATGTTTTCTTAACCCCACCGACTGGATTAAAAAATAACGTAAGAGAAATCACGACTTTTAAACTAATGTTTTTCTGCACATTTATAAGAGCAGCATTCAGTATTTTTACACAACATTCTGCTATGATTAACTAGGCTACGTAGTTAAATGTTACTTTTACTTTTAACCGTGTTTGTTGTTGTTACGATTGGGAGTCTCAATAGGGTGTTTTATTTTGAAAATTTACCGGATTCTCTCTGTTCTGTGTCCTACTTCCTGCCTGGTTTGATCTGCTCTGTGCTGCTAGCGGTAAAAATAGACCTGCTACCTATTCTCTACGTAGCGGAGAGCCGCTTCTGGGACGCACTGTGGCCGCATCTGGTGGACAAGCACTGACTATAATGGCCGCGATTAGTAGTGTTGTAGTACTCGAGACCGGTCTTAAGACAACTTTTTGATGGTCTTAGTCTTGTCTCGGACTCGACCGTATTTGTACTCTGTCTTGTCTCGGACTCGACCGTATTTGTACTCTGTCTTGTCCCGGTCTCGACCGTATTTGTACTCTGTCTTGTCTCGGTCTCGGACATTGAGTTCTCGGAATTTTATTTCAAACCAGCACAGAACATAACATTTGGGAATAAATTGCTTTTGCATTGTCTGATTTATTTGTTAACATCCTAACTTTGATTAGATGTAAAACTTATTGCTTCAAATGCAAACAATAACCCTAATTAAAAATGTGTTGTTCACGTTAACGGCTGTCCCCCCTCCCCATGATGGTCAGCATGGAAAAGGAGTGTTGAATAAAGATGCTTACATTGATTTCAGCTCTTAGTGTGTGTATGTGGGTGTTTTTAGGGAAATGTGGATCTTTCAGATCAATTTGAGAAGTACCTGTGATCTCGTTCCACATTTTATTGTGTGTCATGTAATGTGGGGAACTGGTCTGGTCTTGACTTGGTCTCACCCTCCCTTGGTCTGTGTCACGACTTGGTTTCAGCCCCTAAAAGTCTTGGTCTTGTCTCGGTCTCAATAAACTCTGGTCTTGGTCTTGACAACAACAATAGCGATTAGCTCCAGCTGTGGAAGGAACACCTCGCTCTCCACTGTTACGGTGCAGCTGCATGTCAGCGCAGATGCGCATTCACGTCAAAGATGGTGCGTTCAGTAACACAGAAATGCTGTCAGTAAAGCTCTCTCCTTATCTTTCTGTTGTCCATGTTCAGTGTGGCACACATCATGATACCAAACAGCACAGTGCCTACTTTTCACCCTTTAAATAGGCAGACATTGCATTGAAGATTGAAAACACCTTTGATGCTAATTGCAGAACACACCTTAGTTTAACTTCTCGCTATGGTCAAATTATTTCCAATCATCTCTAGGGGTACCATTATTTTTGTCCAGGCCAGTTTCATTAGTTTGTTTTTTAAAAATAATTCTGTTAAGCCACAGAAGTCAATGTCAGTTTATCATTTCTGCCCCAAATTCTTATCTAAGAAAGTCTGAAAGCTTTAAGAGCTGTGAGGAAACCTCATTTGGTCAGAAAGTGCAGGATGCCTCCCTGGTAACAGCAGGTTGGGCTTTATGTTCATATAGACAATAGAGATTTGTCAACCAGCAGAGATTTTGTTGAACCTTCATTTGTCAGCTTTTAATTCACTGAGTTGCTCAAAGACAAACATTCACAGTTTGGTCTACAAACTGATTTTTATTGGATTTCCAGAAAATGTACAATTTCATAGAAACTGACATAAACTGTGGTTTAAGATTTTCTCCAGATTGCCAAAAACACAACAGCTGCTGCAAAACAGCTGCTCTGAATCCCATCCTAAACAGCAGCATGCCTACCACTAAAACAGCAGAAATTACACTTAAAAAGTACAAAGTGCTAAAGACGTGTTGAGATGCTCTCCCTGTGTTAAACATCCAAACAACAGTCCAAATAAAGATTTAGGAAGAAGACAGCGAGGCGGCTAGAATGAGCTCAGTTCATCTAAAATAATATCTGCTTTGCTTCTGGGATTAAAGGAGAATAATGACAGACATCAACTTCCAGCTCCAAACTAATAAAACACATTTTATTTCCATGTGTTGAAGCCATCACAGTGAACCAGAGCAAGTTGACCAAAACATTTCCCAGCAGCCACTTCTCCCACAGCAGAGTCCAAACAGTGCTTCCTGTTCTCTACAGTTAGGTGTCTTATTGGAAATGGTCTCAGTAGATGACAGGATCTGTCTCGTCTCTATCCTTTCTATTGGCCTCCATTTCTCCTCCTGTTTCCTCCCCTTTCTCTCTCTCCCTCTTTCTCTGCCTACATGAAGCTGACTGTGGAAATGTTGTCATCATTCATACTGATGGACTGCTGATATCATTGCTGTCCATTCTGCAGCAACACACAGAGGCCAAAAGCTTGTCTATGAACCCTTTCCTCATGAAGACATACAGGAACAAGTCTGCAAGAGGACTCAGCCTGAGGAAGATGGTAGACTGGTATTTGAGGGTCTGGTCATGTTTTATTGCCAGCAACCAAATGATGATGGGCAGGAACAGCAGAGTGTAAATAAGCAGCACCAGAACCAAAATTCCCACAATTCGTCGTTTTTCATCAGAGGGGACCGAGATGGAAGCAGACAGGGCTTTGAGGGTCCCAACCAGGGAGAATATTAACAGTGGGAAGGGAAGGAGGAAGAGGATGAGGAAGAGGAAGAGTATGAATGTGATCACATGATTAGAGAATTTTGAAAGGACAGCACAGACAGCAGAAAGGACCCAGACCAGGACACAGACCACCACAGAGGTCTTGATGGTTCGTCTGCAGCGGTACCACAGTGGGTGGGCGATGACCAAATACCTGTAATACAAGATGGACACAAAGTCTTTGAGGAGCTTCAGAGTTATAAACTAATATAATGTTCAGACACAGAAGGAGCTCCACACATACTGGATAGACAGATAGATACCTTTCCAGGGAGATGCAGACCATGAAGTAAATACTGGCAAACAGAGCAGAGTAGTAAATACAATAAAAGATGAAATATATATTCTCATCCACATTTGGTGCCACCTCAACGATCATGCAGCAGAACTGAATCAGGTCAGTAATGAGGAGGTTGATGAGGTAGATCGGAGCAACATGATCACTTCTCACCTGCAGGAAAACATTGGTAAAAGTCAACAAGCAGTTGGAAACATGTTGTGAAGTCCACCTCCTCCCAAATCTGTCATCTTGCTCTGCCCAGCAGCTGCAGTCAGAGCCATTTCTGACTTTTTCATCCAACAGAAATCTCAGATATGACCCACTGGCCAATCACTGCAGGAACAAGACTAAGGGCCAGATTTCCTGCAGCTTCTGCAGTTTAACTGGAATGGAGCCACACATGGAAACTGCATGTGTTTAGGGTCCAATCAGCTTCATGGACATTTAAATTCTGGAGTCAATTATTCCTGTCAGGTTATAGATCATTCCAAGCCTTTGTCCCAGCCCCCTGACACCTAGCCCCCAAACCACATCCAGATCCTTTACAGACAGACAGACTGTAGGACAAACACACCACACAGACAGGAAATAAATAACTCTCAGTCAGAATGTACATACCATAGAATAAAGAGCATAGATGGCCACCAGGGTCAGAGGAAGGCCGACAGCAACAATTATGCATTTGACCACATTTAAGATGAAATAAAGTTCATTGAGCTCGTTGTTATTCTGGTATTTGGAGGTGATGTTGCTGTAATTCTGGTAGTCGGCGGTGGTGTAGTTGTGATGGTAGCTTTGGTCCTGTGAGCTGCTGGTAACGTAGAGACCTTCCATTCTTCAGAGTGAAACCTGTTTGAGAGATCAGGTTATTAAAGGGAGCAGGTTTTTAATATCTACCTAACATTGTTCAGTGACATCACTAAAGCTGTGAGGTGAAGTTCACACAAACACAGTGTACCTATAGTTTACCCACAATCATATCAAATCACAAACTGCTGTCTTTCACTTTCTATCATCATTCCACTACATTTGTTACATTTAACTTTTATTTAATCAAATAAGAAAAGAAGAACAAATATCTGTATGTGCTGATGTGAGGTCGCTGCTAACTCTGAGGAGAACAGACGAAGGGCCAGACCCTCTCATCTGGACGATCCGAACACGACACAGCAAAAGACTGAACGGACCTGCCGGCTAACAACTAGCAAGACAACCAAATGTCTTCCTCTACGGATCCCCCAGGATCCACAAAGTTAAATTTAAGACTTTTTAAGACCTTTTAAATAACACTTAGGATGAAATTTAATACAACTTAACTGACGTTTAATGGAAAATCTGTATGAATTTTAAGCCCGATAAAATTATTACGAAGATACATGAATTTAGTAAAACATTTTATTATAATACATTCATATTTAACACACTATATCTTTTTGGATTGTGTTTGTACTTTGATAAGATAAAATGAATCAAGGATGTCACTTTGTGTTGAAAAGTGGTGGGACATAAGGGTTCAGATTAGGGGTGTGACAACACACTTAGCTCACATACACGATTCACAATATTTCTTGTTGCAAGCTATTTTTCAGAACATATTTAACAAATGCTTTTCAAAAAAAGTGATGGGGACATGTCCCCAGTGTCCACAGTGTAAATAACACCTATGAAATGAATCCAATATTTGTGCACTAAGAACTCTTAAGGGATGAAATCAAAAAATAAAAACAAATTGTGTGGTATGAGTAGTTACACCTTGGCTAGATAATGTAAAGTAATATAATCTGCCAACAGCTTCAGTGATTATTCATCCTGTTCTTGTTTTAAAGCATCTAAAGGCTGCTTGAAATACAGTATTATATAGTTTTGGCTTGAAAGCAGCGGGGAAAAGGAGCCGGGCTCCGGTTTGTTTTTCCCTCGTTCCTGTGATGCAAGTTTAATGTGCGTTAGTTTGATGTTTCCATGCACGTAACGTTAGCCTTCCTGCGACACACAGACCCGTCCTCGTCTCAAACGCACCTGTCTCTCTGTTTGCTGTGGTAACATTCACTGACCAGTAACCTGCAGCGGCTCTTCCAGCTCTGCTGTTCCATTAGCGCTGCCACAGTGTGATTCAGCTTGTTGTGCTGCCCTCAGCTTCGTCCGCCAACTTGTTCGTATCTCTGGCTTTCTGAATATCAGACACTTGCCCATTCTGAGTCCTCGAGCTAACGTTAGTAGCCCGTCAGAGACGTTTTCTTTTCTTTTCTAACTACTGACTGATTCGCGCTGAGCTGGATGCCAGAGCTCGTGCACCGTGAACACAGTTCAGAGCGTAAAGCTGAACACTGACATAAACAGTAATGTTACCTGCACTGCCGTATAACATCAGTCACACCAAACGGAGTAAATAATGAAGTCTCACACACACAAAGTATTCATTTATGACGTCACAGCATTAATTAAATCCTACACAAGGACAAGAAAAACTTTAAGACCTTAGTAAACGAAATTTAATACTTTGGTAATGAAAATTAAGACTTTTAAGGCCTTATTTTTGGAATATGAAATTTAAGACTTTTAATACTTTAAGACCTGCGGGTACCCTGCCTGATACTCTTTGTCAGGTAAAGCACATATAGCCTATGTGATTAAAAACTCTTGGTGGTAGGGTTAACATCCTCAATCAATTATTATTATTATTAACACCTGTTAATACATTTCACATATTTAATAGAGCTGATTTCATCATAACCAACAAACACGAGGCGGACTTCCTATTAGTTTTCAGTGGAAGGCTCCTGTGGTTAGTGTGGTTAGTCTTAAAGTGTTAAAACCAAAGATCGTCTTTCATCATTCTAAATATTTTGTAATAACAGTACATAAAGCATTTCAAAACATTTTCAAATTTCCAAACATTTCCAGAACATTTCAAAATCCTGATCATCAAATACACTAAAGCAACACTTTGATTTAACAAGCATATAAGCAAATACACTCAAGGAATAAACTTTGATATAAACCGACTTCCTTCCTTACTCTTCACTCTGACTTCCTGTCAGAGTGAAGAGGAAGAGTTAAAGTAAAAATACATCCCTTACTTACAAAACATCATGAGTCCACAACATTATTATCATGGTGATGAAGCAATGAGTTTCAGCAGCTACACAGCAACATACGTTTATAAGGTGACTTTAGCAATGTGTTCAGCAATTTTACTTCAAGTAACATTATCTTATGAGATGAAGAAATAAAATGAAGAATAATCTTTAGATGATGAAGTGAAACGCAGTTAAACACATTTCCTGTCCAATTCTATCAAATACTTTTTATATGCTAACTTTATGATGCTCATCTTTGCAGTATAGTTAAACATTAAGAAACTGAATTATACACAACACCCTCTCTTTAAAACAAAGAACCTTTATAGTGAAGCGCTCACCCCCGGAGAGTGAAGGCAACATCCTCTTTTCTTAAGCTTTACTCCAGGACAAGGCTCAGTCCCCCCTGCACAGGGCAGCAGCCTGCTTTTGCTGCTTTGTTACTCAGTTTCAAGACACCTCTAATATCTCAGAGACACTTTAGCTTCTTGTAGTTTAACTCAATAAAAAAACATGGCACCATCTACCAGCCAGTTACTGGTAAAATATGCAAATGTCTGCTAGATTTACTTCATCAGCAGCTAAAAACAATGGTAATCTACTGAGTGGTAGACTTTGAGCGTTTACTGGCTGGTGGACAAAACAGTTCATTTAGCACCCTGCCTGTGTACAGACAGGAGAACCAACTACTGTTTTTTCTCCAGCCACGCTGTCGGGCGCCACGTAGCCTCGAGTATTCAAACACAACCTGGAACGAGTTCCTAAACTCCAGATCTAGAGAACAAGACCAGTGTGGCCCTCGGCTCAGTGTGTGGCAGTGTGGAAGAACCTTACCTTGCAGCAGGAGGAGGAGAGGAAAAATAATCTTTAGTAAATAATCTTTACTCAGTGTCTTTTATTAAAGTACAATCAGCAAAAAAGAAAAGAACAGAGCAAAACAGCGTCGACCGGAGTTCTGCTTTTTCAAAATACCAAGAGCTGCAACTTCTATACAGACACAGACAGGATGTGACAGAATATCTCTTGATCCATGTTTGCTGATTGGTTGATCTCTAATGCAGATGAGCTATGATCAGTCACCCTGTAGTAAGTGGTCTGTTATCCATATCACACCAAATATGGTACACATGAACACAGAAGATACAGTGGGTACGGAAAGTATTCAGACCCCTTTAAATCTTTCTCTTTGTTTCATTGCAGCAAAAAAGTTCATTTTATTTCTCAGTAATGTACACTCAGCACCCCATCTTGACAGAAAAAAACAGAAATGTAGAAATTTTTGCAAATTTATTAAAAAAGAAAAACTGAAATATCACATGGTCATAAGTATTCAGACCCTTTGCCGTGACACTCATATTTAACTCAGGTGCTGTCTATTTCTTCTGATCATCCTTGAGATGGTTCTACACCTTCATTTGAGTCCAGCTGTGTTTGATTATACTGATTGGACTTGATTAGGAAAGCCACACACCTGTCTATATAAGACCTTACAGCTCACAGTGCATGTCAGAGCAAATGAGAATCATGAGGTCAAAGGAACTGCCTGAAGAGCTCAGCGACAGAATTGTGGCAAGGCACAGATCTGGCCAAGGTTACAAAAAAAATTCTGCTGCACTTAAGGTTCCTAAGAGCACAGTGGCCTCCATAATCCTCAAATGGAAGATGTTTGGGACGACCAGAACCCTTCCTAGAGCTGGCCGTCCGGCCAAACTGAGCTATCGGGGGAGAAGAGCCTTGGTGAGAGAGGTAAAGAAGAACCCAAAGGTCACTGTGGCTGAGCTCCAGAGATGCAGTCGGGAGATGGGAGAAAGTTGTAGTAAGTCAACCATCACTGCAGCAATCCCCCAGTCGGGGCTTTATGGCAGAGTGGCCCGACGGAAGCCTCTCCTCAGTGCAAGACGCATGAAAGCCCGCATGGAGTTTGCTAAAAAACACCTGAAGGACCCCAAGATGGTGATAAATAAGATCCTCTGGTCTGATGAGACCAAGATAGAACTTTTTGGCCTTAATTCTAAGCGGTATGTGTGGAGAAAACCAGGCACTGCTCATCACCTGTCCAATACAGTCTCAACAGTGAAGCATGGTGGTGGCAGCATCATGCTGTGGGGGTGTTTTTCAGCTGCAGGGACAGGACGACTGGTTGCAATCGAGGGAAAGATGAATGCGGCCAAGTACAGGGATATCCTGGACGAAAACCTTTTGCAGAGTGCTCTGGACCTCAGACTGGGCCGAAGGTTTACCTTCCAACAAGACAATGACCCTAAGCGCACCGCTAAAATAACGAAGGAGTGGCTTCACAACAACTCCGTGGCTGTTCTTGAATGGCCCAGCCAGAGCCCTGACTTAAACCCAACTGAGCATCTCTGGAGAGACCTGAAAATGGCTGTCCACCAACGTTTACCATCCAACCTGACAGAACTGGAGAGGATCTGCAAGGAGGAATGGCAGAGGATACCCAAATCCAGATGTGAAAAACTTGTTGCATCTTTCCCAAAACGACTCATGGCTGTATTAGATCAAAAGGGTGCTTCTACTAAATACTGAGCAAAGGGTCTGAATACTTATGACCATGTGATATTTCAGTTTTTCTTTTTTAATAAATTTGCAAAAATTTCTACATTTCTGTTTTTTTCTGTCAAGATGGGGTGCTGAGTGTACATTACTGAGAAATAAAATGAACTTTTTAGATTTTTGGAAAATGGCTGCAATGAAACAAAGAGTGAAAAATTTAAAGGGGTCTGAATACTTTCCGTACCCGCTGTATATCCGCCCACCTGTTTCTGTAAATGCATTCTTTTCACTTCTCTTAAAGTTTTAAGTTCAATGATAAATTCAATATATATAACATTGTCATAAAGTTGAGCAGGCTAAATAGTAAAATACAAAAAACAGCCAATACATATCATAAACAACACACCTGTCATATCAAAATCAAAGTCAATCAAATAATAAAAGAAGTGACATAAAGTTGTTACTGTGATGTAGAGACAGAGCTCAGTTAAAAGTCACCACTCTGAAACTCTTGCTCCAGTCCATGTTGCTAAGCTGGTCAGAGGAACATATTCCGCTGAACCAAAGACGTGTTTACTGGCTTTTCAGGACCCTACTCTGCTTCCGATTGGCTAGTAGTCCTTAACTGGGTACTGCGCAAGTGATACTCCCAATACACAGGGTGAAAAGAGGAGCTGACAAAAAATATGGTGTTTCAATTCAATTCAATTCAATTTTATTTATATAGCGCCAAATCACAACAACAGTTATCTCACAGCGCTTTTCATAAAAGAGCAGGTCTAGACCGTACTTTGTGATGATATTTACAGAAGCCCAACAGTTCCCACCAAGAGCAGCACTAGGCGACAGAGGCAAGGAAAAACTTCCTTTTAAGAGGCAGAAACCTCGAGCAGAACCATGACTCAGGGTGGGCGGCCATCTGCCTCGACCGGTTGGGGTGAAGGAGAGAGAGAGAGAGAAAGAGAGAGAGAAAGAGAGTGAAAGAGAGAGAGAGAGAAAAGAGAGAGAGAGAGGGATGTAAGGAGAGAGAGAGGGGAGGGAGGCAGCCTACACAATATCCACACAGAGGTACAGACAGTAAAGGTAATGTTGCTATAAACTAAATGAAAAATGGTACAGATATTTATAATAGTGTTAATGATAACAGTCGTAATGTTAATGATTATAATAACAATAATAACAATAAGACTAGCAACAATAGTCGTTGCAGCAGAGGGTGTCGAGCAGGAACACGGGGGCAGCAGGTGACCCGCAACCACAGATCCAGACTCCACAGCTCCAGAGCCAGAAACACCTGCAGGAAGTGATAGGAGGAGAGAGGAGAGGGACGAGAAAGCACAAGACTACCAGAAAGGGGAGAAGTTGTGTTAGTAACATGCAATAATGGGATAAGGTTGCATACAGAGGGAGAGAAAGTAGAGGAGAGAGGAGCTCAGTACATCATGGGAAATCCCCCGGCAGTCTAGGCCTATAGCAGCATAACTAAGGGATGGTTCAGGACTCACCTGAGCCAGCCCTAACTATAAGCTTTATCAAAGAGGAAAGTCTTAAGCCTACTCTTAAATGTGGAGATGGTGTCTGCCTCCTGAACCCAAACTGGAACCTGGTTCCACAGGAGAGGAGCTTGATAGCTGAACGCTCTGGCTCCTAGTCTACTTTTGGAGACTGTAGGAACCACAAGTAACCCTGCATTCTGGGAGCGCAGTGCTCTGGTGGGGTAGTAAGGTACTATGAGCTCTTTAAGATAAGATGGTGCCTGACCATTAAGAGCTTTGTAGGTAAGAAGAATGATTTTAAATTCTATTCTGGATTTTATGAAGCTGTTCACGTACAACCGATGAATAAAATGATGAACCTGAAATTGAGCAGAAAATGACCACTTTAAGGTAAAAAACTTTTTCATAATGTTTTAATATCATCAAACTTCTCATACTATAATAAAACTACTTAAACCAGATAATTATAAGTAAAGTAATACCAGTAATACACCTTATAGTGATACTCTTTGTCAGGTAACTACAGTATCTCACAAAAGTGAGTCCACCCCTCACATGTTTTATAAATATTACTGATTATATCTTTTCATGTGACCACAGTGAAGAAATGACACTTTGCTAAAATGTAAAGTTTTCACACCTGAGACCTTGTAACACTAACGAGTCACATGACACCGGGGAGGGAAAATGGCTGATTGGGCCCAATCTGGACATTTTCACTTAGGGGTGCACTCACTTTTGTTGCCAGCGGTTTAGACATCAATGTGTGGTGTGTTATTTTGGGGGGCAGGAGATTTACACTATTATACCAGCTGTACGCTCACTACTTTACACTGTTATACCAGCTGCACGCTCACTACTTTACACTGTTATACAAGCTGTACGCTCACTACTTTACACTGTTATACAAGCTGCACGCTCACTACTCTACACTGTTACACAAGCTGTACGCTCAATACTCTACACTGTTACACAAGCTGCACGCTCAATACTCTACACTGTTACACAAGCTGTACGCTCAATACTTTACACTGTTATACAAGCTGCACGCTCGCTACTTTACACTGTTATACAAGCTGCACGCTCACTACTTTACACTGTTATACAAGCTCGCTACTTTACACTGTTATACAAGCTGCACGCTCGCTACTTTACACTGTTATACAAGCTCGTTACTTTACACTGTTATACAAGCTGCACGCTCGCTACTTTACACTGTTATACAAGCTCGTTACTTTACATTGTTATACAAGCTGCACGCTCGCTACTTTACACTGTTCTACGAGCTGCACGCTCGCTACTTTACACTGTTATACAAGCTGTACGCTCACTACTTTACACTGTTATACAAGCTGCACGCTCACTACTCTACACTGTTACACAAGCTGTACGCTCAATACTCTACACTGTTACACAAGCTGTACGCTCAATACTTTACACTGTTATACAAGCTGCACGCTCGCTACTTTACACTGTTATACAAGCTGCACGCTCACTACTTTACACTGTTATACAAGCTCGCTACTTTACACTGTTATATGAGCTGCACGCTCGCTACTTTACACTGTTATACGAGCTGCACGCTCGCTACTTTACACTGTTATACAAGCTGCACGCTAACTACTCTACGCTGTTATACAAGCTGCACGCTCACTACTTTACGCTGTTATACAAGCTGCACGCTCACTACTTTACACTGTTATACAAGCTGCACGCTAACTACTCTACGCTGTTATACAAGCTGCACGCTCACTACTTTACGCTGTTATACAAGCTGCACGCTCACTACTTTACACTGTTATACAAGCTGCACGCTCACTACTTTACACTGTTATACGAGCTGCACGCTCACTACTTTACACTGTTATACAAGCTGCACGCTCACTACTTTACACTGTTATACGAGCTGCACGCTCACTACTTTACACTGTTATACAAGCTGCACGCTCACTACTTTACACTGTTATACGAGCTGCACGCTCAC